GGACTGTTACTGAAACAAAAAAAAAAGAATCGAGAGGAAAGAAAACGAAGGGATAAATCATAATCTCGGGGGTCAAAGCTTGAAACAACACATACCGTGCAAAAAGGGTGACTGTTTTCTTTGCACCCTCGTCGCAGAACATCACCAGATTGAGGACCCGAAAGCATGCTGTCAGTATATTCACAGTCTCTCTACGATTGTCATCCTGTAATGCTAGACATAATCAGCAGATACGTAAAGATGACATGTATATTTGGACTTACAGTAGCATCTGCCCTGGTAATAGAAATCACATTGAAGACCACTCCAATGATGTTTTCACCTTTGTCTTCAAGGACAACTTGTGTTACCGTTGCTCCCCAGCCAGCGCAACAGCTTAGCAAAAGCGTCATTAACTGGAAAAGTAACTTGCGTGAAGTAACAACCTGTACAAACCTTTCGAAGTAAATAAAAACAACTCACCCGCAGAACACGAGCGCGAATGCATTGGCTTCCATTGGAGAGTAGCTTCAAAAGGCACACTTGGAATGATTTCTGAATGTAGTAAGTGTAAAAAATAACAAATGCGAAAACCACAGAAAGCTTTAGAATCCAGTACCTGTGACAAGCATGTGTCCCTAGCCTTAGTCACGTCTGGCTTCAATGGCTCCACAATTAAGGAGTTCAAACACAAAAGAATGTTATCCACCAGCTCCTCCAGCATATTCCTCATCTCTTTCGTTTGACTCCATTGTTCGAGGCTACAGAAGATTTTTGATATTTGCTGAGTGACGTGAAACCGAATTAAACTCACTTGGAATACTGGTAGCACAATCTGGTAAAAATATCGAAGGCATTGCATTCTATGAGCAATCTCTGAAATATTCGAATAAAATGCCATTTTTACAAAGTTAATGATCACTTTACTGTAGAACGAGATCGCGTATATTTCTGTTGACGTCCAACCTTGATGAACAGAGAAAATGTAAATGTCAAGGAGGGGGTTAACGCGCAACCAGGTACGATTCAGTTAAATTGTTAATACCCAATTTTAAATACTCAAAAATATTTAAATTGATGAATTAACGAATAAACGGAGTCACCCTCAAATTTTAATCTAAACAGCAATTATCAAAAACCGCGTAAGACCATTGTTGAAACCCTAAAATCCACTTGATATAAAAAAGGATGAGATTTCTTCACTCTCCGGTTATACGGAAGGCGACTATGTGACATATCAGTACAAGGATACGGTAGACACACGCCCGTAACAAAAATCGTACTTGCTCCCAGCTATAATCACCCGGTTCCAGAAGACTGTGTACAGAAACTTTCAACTGACTAGGACGACTATAATAACTCTAGCGAAAGTTCAGACCTAAAATGGGGCAATGAGCTGAGTAAACTTATCACCAGAGGTATGAACCAAATAAGGCTCTCCTGCAGCACATTTAGCTGCAGGAGAGCTTTATTTGGTTCATACCTCTGGTGATAGCCTTAGAATCATTTTGTTTTGTTATTTGTACTACACTAACTTGAATGCGCGCATCTCTTCAAAAACATTTTTAAAAAGTGGAGTTACATCAAGATGAAAACTATCACAGAAAATTACCTTATTGACAGGTCGATTTGCAATGACATTCACCAAGAAGCCAGAGCTGTACCGCCTAACGAAAAGATCACGGTCGTTGGATCGACATAAAATGTCTAGCACCTGAAATCCACCTCAAAAGATAAACAGGATTACAGAATATTCACGTTTGAGAAATGAGGTACATGATTCATCCCCCTGGGCCAAATTATTCCTAGTTCGAGACAAGTACGTAGACTTGTAGAGTTTTATCAGAGCCACTGACAATTCCTTGAAGAGCAATTTTGATTGCGTTTAGACGTTCTACGAACCTGTCGTATGGAGACCCTCAGATCTTGATCATCTACGGTCTTTACATCGCTAGCAAGAGCAATAAGGTGAATGCCCTCTCGAAGAACATCCGTCGATTGATAGAGTCGTTCACAGACTTTCTAGAAAAATACCGTTATTTAAGCATGAGCGATCTCGCTAAGCTAGGAAACTAAGTATGCGACCATCAAACCCTTGAAAAGAACCAACCTGAAGCCCTCCCCAACGGACGAATAGCTCTGCAGCAGTTTGGCTAGCCATGACTACATTAAGCAAGGCAAGAATGCGATATAGCAGCCGCCCTTGATCTCTTGCATTATCAGCCAAGACCAGCAATCCACCTTGTGCAGAACCGATGAGCAATTCGATGAATCGACCATTATAAGATTGAACGATGTGTTGCTTAAAATTAAGGAATCAATGGCCGACATGAACAATAAACAAATAACGGGATACTACCTTGGCATTGTTGTCCTTGCGAGCGAGAAGCTGAAGGGAATGAAGTACGAATAAAGTTCGTTTTCGGTCTGGTTTCTCTTTCAAAATGTGCAGCAAAGCATCAAGCACCTGTAATACTCATAGGGAAAATTTAAAACTATATTACATCCATGAAAAACATAAACATACCGCTCCAGGCTGGATCTGCTTGGCGTATGTTATGCACTTAGCTCCTTCTGGACCATTATAATCGAAGAGAGTATGGAGGGTAAGGGCGGCTGCCCAGTTCAGATTGACTCTGGAAGAAAATTACGATAGAAAAGGAACCGCTCGGGGGACGAACGTTAGAAATAATGCAGAAATCATACTTTGCAAAATGTGCTATAATGTAGATGAACTCTGACGTATTTTTATCGGAAGCTACATGCATTACCACTCTCAATGTGGTCTGATTTCGACTTAAGTAGAAAATCGTATTGAGCAGTAAATTACTCGTCTGAAGGGAATTCTGTCGACGAAACTGAAATCACTTTTTAAAGATGTTGCAACTTTAAATTGTTCAAACCAATCAATCAATTTCTCACGTTTGGATCGATCGTATTTTTGAGTAGTTGTGTTATAAGTAGAAGCAATTTGTGTACACTGCCCATATCCACGAATTGGAGCATATTCCGTTGAGCATAATGGCAGACACATTGGATGATTTTGAACTGCTGAACATAATCACAGGGATACCACGTAATTACACAAAGCCAAATGAGTGGCACTTTTAAAAATTACCTCGTTACTATAGAAGTTATTAATAGAATAAGCAATATTTCTTCGAACTTCTTGTAAAGTGGCAGGATCTACGTTTTCTGTACAGGGCGGTGTTGACGCAGAGGATGAAAACTGCGACTGTGGTCGCTAGAAGGAAAACTTCGAATTCCAAAAACCGAATAAAATAGAAAGTATTTGAGTGGAAGAATACCATACCAATTCAGTGAGCTGAGAGTCTTGCGGGCAAGGTGCTGTGCTGGCGTTTAGCGTTGTTTGAACGCTCATCACAGAAACAAGGTCATCTTGCATGCTTACATGAGACATTACAGACGGTGCACCAGAAGGGACCTTCAAAATTATAGGTTCGGTGAAAAACTGATTGAATAATTCTTACTTTCAACGTAAAAAAGAGACATACAGGCGAGTTAGCATACACCGCATTATAAGGACCGCTTAGCCAATGACTAGTGTGATCTGTTTGAGGAATCCGAGAGGGTGATCGCGGATAGCTAGCAGGATACATATGTTGCCTGAATTTTTGNNNGGCAAAGGAACTCACATGTTTTGTCTACAAGCCGGAGGGTACTGCTGCATCATTTCTGGTTTCGGATAATGTGAAAATTGTGAAGTTGAAGGTATCTGTAAAGGAGTTTATTAAAACAATACGTTTATCAGGAAATTATGACGGGAGTAATTGGATTGTATGAATCACTATCAGCGAGTTTGTTTGGTTTCACCGGCTTCAGCAAACGAAAACGAGATAAGAATCCAAGAGAGAAAATATCTATACTTTCAAAGAGATTACCTGTTGATCATACACTTGCTTTGCATCCATAGACAGCAAAATACGTTCGTGCTTTGAAGCCGTCCCGATTACTTCGAAACGGCTTTGGAACTGCACTTGGTATTAGGCCTCTGAAATAGAAATAGAAAGTTTTGGCTATCTTGGAAATTTATCCCATCATAAGAAAGAAAGGTAATAGACTTCGATATCCTGAGCCGCTGAGAAACTCTGACAAAAAGAAACCCTTCGTAATACAGAAAACTGTGTAAAAAAAGATTTTGGTGGACAAATGCTTGGGCTGATTAACTGAAGCTAGCAAAGAAAATCGAAAATAAAAATAAAACGAGTTCTGAAAAAAAAACAATTATACTGTGATTATATAGGTCTCAATCAGGATTGAAAGACCGTAAATCAACGTCTCATAATGGAGCAAATTCAGTTCCAGTTCAAGAAAATCCCGAGCGAGACGATTTGAAAAAGCGAGAAACCAGCACAGCCAGGACTATGAACTGTTTTCATGAAAAGAAGTGAATTCTCGAAGGTACGGTAAAAATGGTGGTAGATAAATCCACAAAACAATTCTTGAAAACATAGTCAAGCTGTTGGTAGATAAACCCACTACTACAGGTAACACTCATTCCATAAATGGTAAGGAAGCCTTTTCGCTTTTCCGGAGAAAGCGGAGAAATAAACCGTAGATTCCACCGTGATAAAACTTTAAGGGGTGTTTTTGAAAAAAAGTAACTGCAGCATAATCTCTAAACGAAGTTATGGACAAGAATACACAGTAATTACCTAAAGGTCCAAAAGAAACGCCATATCGAAGTGATCAATACGAGTGGGTTCGATCTGGAAACCTGTTCAGGGCGTAATCTCAAGTTGTGGAGGAATTAGATCGAGCAAGTTACAGAGCTAAAAGGAAATACTGCATATCGGAAAAACTGGATCGAATCTCAAACAGCGGAAACGAGTAGTACAGTTTGGCAGAAACTCCCATGGGGAAATTTAAAACGAATATTTCTAAGGGATAAGGAGGCGGAGATGCTTGTAAAGTAAAGAAAAAAACGAGCCAATTGGACAATTAAACGATTAAAACGACAACGTAGACTTCCGGGCTAAATTACGGTCGGGGCGGAGGGAGATTCAAATTCTAGCGTCCCCCTCCACACGACCCTGATGGCCACCCTGCGTCTCTGCATGGGCCACACTGCCTCCTAGTGCCCTGGCGACTGGGTCTCCCTTGAATGCTACCCATTTCGTTGCCTGCCTGTCTCCCACCCTCTGCTCTTTCGTGGGTGCCCTTCTGGGGCTAACACTTGATATCAAGAACCGAGTAGAAAACTGTCGAGTACCGTATGACAAAGGGTCACTCAACAACATACTCGATGCAGTAAACTCGAAGAGTTGTGTGGGAATAGGTGGGCAGTGTTCTGCATTTGGACATTGCTTTGAATTTGTTATCACCTGATTTCGGCCATCACCCTGGAACCCCACGGAATACGACCTGACTTGATTTGGGTGCTTGCTCGAATTCAAATCTTCCATCGTGGGACGGGTTTTCGCGTCGAAGTCATAAAAACACGCGCCTGTCCGGCAGCGACGATGTGCCCATTGTGGTGGCCTTCCACGAAATGGGCACTATGCATCCCATAGTTATCGATCGATAGGCCTTACAGAACTGCCTTCGCAATCGACTTATACCGTTCAATATGTTCCTGGTAATTAGTGGAATCAGTTTCATTTCTTTCGCTTAATTACGAGGCGTATTTATCTGGGAAGTATTTGGGAATGAAATTCGAGAACCTGGGTGAAGTCAACTTTTTCACCATTCCAATGTTGTTGATTCTGGGTGTTCTACATTTTTCCAAAGGGCGTAGTCGAATTTGCAACACAAATTAGTCCAGGACTGGAAATTACTTTCCATTACTTCCTGCAAAACAAACCAGAACTAAAAATTCTTAGGCCTCTTTTTTTTCCAAATTATCCATTGGTCCCACTCTACCACT